TATTTCTTCTCCTCAGACAGGGAGCTCTTTGAGGGTAAGGCTGTGCCTTATTAGCCTCTAATATCTATCCCCAGGCCCAGTGTGGAGCTGAGTACAAAGCTGGCCCAAAGAGCTGTTTGTTGAATTGGTGAGTGACTGAATGGGCATCTATAGAGATCGACTATGTGCCAGGCCTGTGCAGGGGGTTCCAATGTAAAGGAGGCCAGAGCCCCATGCAGTACCCACCTGTGCAATGGCCCAGGACGCTGTCTGGACAGAACCTGGACAAGGCGAGGTGAGAGCTCAGAGAAGGAAAGGATAGCTTTGGAGTCGGGATACTGGGAAGCTCTGGGAGGAGGTCCAAGAGGCCTGGGATGACAAATTGTTTGGGACAGGTTTAGGGCTGGGGGCTGGTTTAGTGACCTCAGAAGAGGCTCCTTTGTCCAAAGCCCAGGACTATGCCTAGGAACGGGCAAGTGAGGGGGCCGGCTGAACAGGGAAGCTGAGTCACGTTCTGGAGAGCCATTTCCAGGTGAAACCAGAAAGGGCAAGCGTCATGCTCAAGGCAACACAGATGGGCCACAGCTCCCAGCCAGGGCTCTGTGCCACCCATGCCCCACTCCTACCCCCTGGCAGCACCCTGGCTCTGAGTGAACAAGCTGCCCCAGTCCCTGAGGGTGCACGCAAACCAGGGGGAGGTGACAATAAGAACTTATCAAATGGCTTGTAGGAGGCAGCCACAAATTTCAGCGGCTATGTAATGTGGGTCTAATGTTCACTTAGCAGAGTGAGAGTCTGAAAAGTCAGTGCCCGCGCTCTGACCCTGCTGCGGCCGAGGCTGTTGAAGCCATGGAAAGCGAGTCACTCAGCAGACATCAAGCTCTGTGCTGGGGCTGGTGTAGGTGGGGTGTGGGGCTGGAAGAAGTCTGAGTTTCCAGACGCCAGACCATGCTGTCGGCCCCAGCTGGCTGCTCCTGGGGGAGGAAAGGAAGCAACATTTTTGGTCTTGGAAAGGCCAAAAGCCCGGAGTCAGAGCTGCCCATCTACAGACGGGGAGGCGAGGAGGTGTAGCCCTGGGGAACCCACCGCTGAGTGACTCTCGAGTTTGGCTTTCCTCACAAGCCTCTGCTGTTTCTCTGAGTGCCCTGGGACCCCTAGTTGGGGGGCAGGAGGGGAGGAGTCCTTCCCTCAGCCAGCCCCCAACTACCTACCGTGGAAATGAGGCCCCACCTGGGCCACATGGGGAGGGACTGAGCTCAGGGCTTTCCTGAAGGTCAAAGCCTGTCCTTTCTGAAGGCCAAAGAGGCATCCTCACCTTTGAGCCCACACGCAGGGCCTGGGGGTCTGCCTCTGCCCTGTCTTCCTGTGCGACTCCAGGCAACTCCTCAGCCCTCTCTGGGTCTCGGTTTCCTCATCTGTTAAGTGGCTGGAAAAGTCTCCAAGCTCTTGGCCTGCTACAGAATCTTGCAAATGATACATAAGGCAGCTGCCCACACCCTGGCCCTGCTCTGCTTTTCTGTTCTGCGCGGCATAGGGTCTTTGTTTTGTTCATGGCAGTACCTGTGGCCCTGGAGCAGTGCCTGTTGCATAGTAGGTGCTCAGTAAATACTGGTGGTTTCTAAACTCCCAGAAGCCACCCCACCTCCTTGCTGCAGGTCCCTTCCTCTTGGAAGGCTTTCTGATTCATCCCCTTCTCGTCCTCCAGGTTCTGTTTTGTCCCCTCCTAGGCTGGGCTGCATTACAGACTCCTGTGCACGTGTTGGTATGCAAATCTGGAAGCCTCCCCCCTGTTTCTATTCCACCTTCTCCTTTCCATCGTGGGTGCGTGGGAGCCATGTCTTCTTTTAGATCCCCCTGGTGCGGCTAGGATCAGTGCCAGGGCCTTGGTGGTACAGCCAGTGCTCCATAGAGCTGTTTACAGCCTGCCAATGATTCACCCACAACAACTGAGAGAAGGCTTTGCCCAGGCGGGGCCCAGGCCCAGGGGAAGCAAGGGAGACCATGTCTTCAAAGCCCACTGGGATCTGGAAACAGGGGCCTGAAAGACCTCTCAGAATAGCTTTGGCCTAGGAGAACAGGGATTGGGATTTGGGGGTCCAAGCTGGGCCAGGATTGAGAGAATTTGTTCTGGTGCAAGCCCACCGATTCATTCATGTCCAAGCCTTTGTCAGTAGCTCACTCTGGGCACCTTGGGTTGGGAGCTGGGGGATCTGCAATGAACCAACCCAGGTCTCGGGCTTCAGAAGCTTGCAGGGTGATGGAAAGGGGGCCGGGCATCATGAGCCACAATAGAGACAGCTGTGTGGGTACAGCCAAAGTTGTCATTCATTCAGTGGGCTGAGGCTTCGTCGAGGAAGGGCTGTCCTAGCAGAAGGAACAGCACATGCCAAGACACAGAGGCCACGCCCAGCAGTGAGTGGTTGGAGGTGAGGCCTGCCTTCCTGTTCTACATGGCTCTTGCCACGCCTCCCCTCTGGGGTCTCTGTTTTGTCATTTGTAAAAGTGGAGGTGGTAGCCAGGCGTGGTGGCTTACGCCTGTAATGCCAGCACTTTGGGAGGCTGAGGCGGGTGGATCACCTGAGGTCGGAAGGCCGAGGTGGGCAGATCAGCTGAGGTCAGGTGTTTGAGACCAGCCTGGCCAGCGTGGCGAAACCCCATCTGTACTAAAAATATAAAAATTAGCCAGGAGTGGTGGCATGCACCTGTAATCCCAGCTACTTGGGAGGCTGAGGCAGGAGAATCGCTTGAACCCAGGAGGTGGAGGTTGCAGTGAGCCAAGATCA